CAAAGCCCAAGCCCAAGAGTCCAAGAAAAGCCCAATGTCCAAAGCCCCAAAGCAAACAACAAGAAGAATCTGCGGACAGCAAAAGCAGAAGGGGAGGCATCGATGCCCGCATCGATGGGGGCATCGATGCCTGCATCGATGCCGGTATCGATGCCTGCATCGATGCCTACATCGATGCCTGCATCGATACCCTGGGCGGTTTGTTACAGTTTAATGGCTGAAAATTGTTGGTTTTGGATAAGATTTCAATCCAATGGCTCTCATTCACTGATGTTTACTATAAATAGGGGTAGAGAGTGAGGGGTTAGAGGTGTGAAAATTTTGTAAACTCCTTTTGGAGAGGAGGGCTACTCTTAATTGAGAAGGCCTTCCAAAAATTGTAACTTTAGTTGCAATTAATAAAAATAATTTTTTCCTCTTTAAATTTGTTCTTTCTCCTCTTTGTTGAATGATGAGGATGGAGATGAAGAGCAATTTGAAGGTTTGCATTTCTTTTCTCTTTTATTTCTTTTTAGTAATTTCTTTATTATTGCTTATTAGTTAGATTTAAGCATGCATCGATACCAGATTACTGTAGCGCGCGTCAATGGCTGATTTTGCTTGTCTTGGGGCTAAAGTTTGATCCAATGGCTCTCATTCACTGATGTTTACTATAAATAGGGGTAGATAGTGAGGGGTTAGAGGTGTGAAAATTTTTGTAACTCCTTTTGGAGAGGAGGGCTACTCTTAATTAAGAAGGTCTTCCAAAAATTGTAACTTTAGTTGCAATTAATAAAAATAATTTTTTCCTCTTTAAATTTGTTCTTTCTCCTCTTGTTGAATGATGAGGATGGAGATGAGGCTAGAACCCTCTTGCCTTAGATTTATTTCATGCTTATAGAATAGATTTATTTTCTTGCATTTAATTCTTATAATTTTATTTTGTAGTTTAGATTTTGTAATTTATTTTATAGTTAGATTTTAATTTCTTATACTATTCACCTTGAGGCTAGAACCCTCTTGGGTTTAGTTTTTCTTTTTGTTTATTTTTATTTTGTTTGATTCGCCTTTAGGCTAGAACCCTCTAGGGAATCACCCTTTTCTAAGAAGTGGGTTCAATTGTAGATTACCCATATCTATAATTGAATCCACCATCTTTAATTTCTTGCATTTTCTTTTATTCTAGAATTTTGTTCTTCATTCTTGAGTCTAAGAAGTGGGTTCAATTTTAGATTACCCATATCTATAATTGAATCCACCATCTTTAATTTCTTGCATTTTCTTTTATTCTAGAATTTTGTTCTTCATTCTTGAATTTTTTATTTGTTTCTTGATTTTATTTCATTTTTTCCTTCTTGCCTTATTGATCACACTCATTCTTTGTCACATCCACTCTCACTTAAATTTTGCGCCATTTCACACACTATCACTTTCACTCTCATTATCTCTCCACAATCATATTTACTCATCACTCCTATTTGTCACGCACACAAAATAAGAACCAATTTTTTATTTTCTCCTACAAAACACCTTCCTCGTGGGATCGATATCTTAAATACTATAACTTGACACGGTTGTGTACTTGCAACCTTTTTGGTACATGTTTATGCCGCATCACATAGCAACCGCACTCCCCAGATCATTAATCTCCAACCTCTTCACCTAGAACCTCTTGAAGTAGGCTTGAAGGCTCTATCCGAGCTCTTGTCTCACATGGATTAACACATAAGGGGCAGCTTCTGTTTGATGTCAGCCAAGAAGTCATGGATGAACTTCCGGCTGAGTTGCTAGAAGCTGCTGATAGACTTCTTCCCGAGGGCGTTCCACCAGAGCTTAGCGCTCCATGATAGAGTGATGGGGAAGCATTGGTAAATAACTGCTTCCGATGCTTGGAGCATGCTCATTACATCATAATAGCTCTGGACATGCTCGGAGGGGTCTCCTTCGCTCTTGTACTTCTCCACATGAGGTATCTTGAACTTCTCACATAGGGCGTTCATGAGGTCATCGAAGAGGGGGGGGGGGGAGGGGGGGGGGGGTGTTCCCCCCGATGGCTTCTGCGATCGGTCTGTACACCTGATCGTATCCAGAGGCTCCCATAGTCGCAGAGGGGGCTAGAGAGGCATGGAAGTAGAGCAAAGTTTTAGAGACTGCTCCCCTAGTGTGATCCCCATGGTGATTAAGGCTAGAACTTTCGCCGATAACTTCAGGATCCGGGAGGAGGTGTCAGCAAGGTTCCCCGAGGTGAGTTGACCGACGTGGCAGCGGGGTTGCGTGCTCGACGTGATACCTCCGTTGCTTGTTAGTAGCATGAGGAGTCCGAGACGGAACTATTCGCTGGTCTCTAGAAGGGGGGTGAGTCCCCGATCATTGGTCTTCAGAAGGCGAAGGGACGGTGAAAGTGGCTTGTTGCGGCTGTGGGAATCGACCA